TATCCCTGATGACCAAAATTAATCTGTTGCAGAAACCAAATCAATGGTGGATTCCCCTTCCTCTTAATTACAGAGTATTTCTGGAAATGCTTCATTCACCCTTAGATAAAGAGTTGCTTTTATTGTTGCCAGAATTCAAGAAGCAATCAGATTGATCAAGTTGCCCTTAAATTGATTCTTATCAATTCAAGCCATCAAGTTGCCCTTAAGTTGATTCAGACTCACAGAAATAGAAGCAGGACAGAGTAGAATTGCCCACAGGGTTTCCAATGCTGTAAATCTTAACAGAAAACTATGGCCTTAAGTTCTTCCATGCAGTGGCTGAGGTTTGAACTGTTAGTCTTTTGGTTAGAAACTACATGGTTAGCCACTGCACCACCAGCGCTCCCTCAAGAAGCCATAGAATACCCTTAATAGAGACAGAGTAAAGGGAGAAATAACAATAGTTTAAAACTTCTAATTTTGCTTCTTGCAGATCAGAGCAGGGTAGCTGAATAGTATCACAGTTTAAAAAGCACCAAGGCAAGCATACAAACACGCTTCCTCTGTGAAAAGAGAATAGATTAGTTTTGTAAGCTATAGCTGCCCCCTTGGTTGTTCTGGTTTGCTAAAGTCTCACATCCCTTCTCAAGAGTATGTGACTTTTTAACCCAACCTCACAGATTGCTGGAAAAATTAAGCAGGTCAAGTCTGTTGAAAAACATTTGTTGTTGTTGTTGTTATGTGCCGTCGAGTCACTTGCGACTCATAGCGAAAAACATTTACTATAGCAAATTAAGCTGTTTTCTAAAAACATAGAGACAGAGATGCTCCTCACCAAAAGGAAATAGTAAAAAAATTTAAAAGTGCTTTTGCTCCATTTTTTCTATACAAGGATTTGCTTAAGTGAGGATGCATGCATCAAATGTACTAAAATTTCCTTCAGCCATAAGCTCTCTTTTCGTTCTCCAAAGTTTACTTGGTAGCCAAGTGATTGCTGATTCTCTCTGCTCCAACACGCCTTTCCTTTCTTCATTCTTCTGCTTCATTATTAATCAGATAATAGTGTCTTTGTTTTTCATGATCTCGATACTGATGCTCTAATATGTGTGTACATCAATCCATATATCATTTTCAAGAAACATTATATGCAAACTCCTCAATCTGACCCACTTTGCCCAGCATCTAATTCAATTTCCTGAATCCACATAAATATATACCTTCAATCTAAATAAGGAGAAATGTCTGTTTGTTTAAAACCTCCTGGTAGAATACGAGAAAGCACAAGAATATTCATAAGCAGAGTGAAATTAAAAGAACCAACTATACAAAGTCCTCTAGATTAATGATTTTTAAATTCAAGAACACAAAATGTAACACTAGTCTAATTCTGAATATCCTTGCACATTTCCTTCAAAGAAACTCTCAGATCCTCCTCAAAACTCTCTCCCAAATCAACCAACATATATAACAAAAAGAAATTCAACTGAACCTCTTTTTAAATTTTTTGTCTCTTGTTCGTATTATTAAAAATCACACATACTGTAACATAAGTTACAGTTAAATTAACTTATTGCCTTTTGGCTAGACCTGACTCTAAGCTCACACAGACACTCACACAAACACCCCCAGTGAGTTTTCAAAGTCTGCAAGCTGCTCTGGTTGCCTAGTGGGTAGGTAGTTGCACTACCAGCCTAAGGCTGACAGTTTAAATTCAGCTGCTGTGCAGGAGAAAGCTGGGCCATCTTCCCCACAAAATTTAAAGCTCCTGAAAATAACGCACTGGAGGGTCAGTTCTGAGTAATTCTGACTTCATGGACAATGAGAGAGAGAGAGAAATCAGAAGAGAGGAGGCGATTGCCCATCTTTCTCCTGAAAAGCTGCTGGCAGTATTCCAACAGATAGAGAGACCCCACCCTTTGGGTTAGCAGCCCAGCCCCTACAGACAATGGGACTAGAAGTTCCTTAAATTAGAGTAGTGACTCTAACACTCAGAAATTATAATAGATCTGATTCCTATAGTCTCTATGGGTCTGAATGGATTATAGCAGGGTGGGTTTAGTTTTTGTTGTAACGTGTTTTCCAAATGTGTGTGAGTGGACCTGTGAGATGCTCTTTGGGGCTATTAGGATTCTGGAGAATAGAATTTAAGAATCGGCAGGGTTACCATGTGCTGGAAATCTAGCACATCCCCTGTGGTCGGCTTGTCATGAAGAGAGGCAGTAGGATTCTAAAACTGAAGCCTACGATGAGGAACTCTTGGGGGACGGGGCGCCGGAGCCCTGGCAGTTCCTCTGTCTACAGCAGAGCATGAAGTCATGTCTGCTCCCCATACCATGTATGGAAGTTTGCCCACATACTAGCAACCTGCTTGTGATTGAAATGAGGTTGTAAACCTGAGAAGTAGCACTGGGAAGCTCAGAGGCAAATACATGTGCAGGTACAAACCAGGATGGAGAGGGGAGGGAGGCTGATGAACAACAGTAAAAGCTGCTTCCAGGGAAATTCTTGTCTCTGTTTATAAAAGAGTCAGTCTGGGTCCATTTAGTACCAAGCAAGCTCATTTGAGCACCCTGAGTCCTTATTTTCCTCCACTGCCACTTTAGTTTGCTTGGCTTCACAATCAACACTCTTGACACCAGCAGCCAGGAAATGAAAAGATGAATCGCATTGGGAAAGTCTGCTGTTGGAGACCTTTCCAAAGCACTAAAGTGCACCTGATCCAGGCTATAGTCTCTGCAATTACTTGTTATGCATCAGAAAGCTGGACAATGACTAGGGATGATAGAAGGAGAATTGTGGTGCTGGAGAAGAATATTGAATATATCATGGACTGCTAAGAGAACAAACAGGAGAAGATGAGATCAGGCTGCTCCTTGGAGGCAAGGATTCTGAAGCTTCATCTGACATACTTTGGGCATGTTGCAAGGAGGGACTGGTCCTTGGAGAGGGACATCATGTTTGGGAGAGTGGAGGAACAGGAAAGAAAGGCCCTCGATGAGATGGATTGGTTCAATGACTAGGGTAATGACTAGGTGTATCAGAGACAATAAGATTGGCACAGGATAGAATAGGATTTAGGACTGTTGTACATAGGGTCGCTATGAGTCGCAGGTGACTCAACAGTACATAACAACAACAGCCACTTTTGCCATTTTAAATACTTGTTCCTTGAGGGGGTCATCCAGAGATTTTTTACTTTGCAGTTGGTTTTTATTTAAATTTTTTAATTTTATTTTATACTGGTTTACATACAAAGTTCATATACATTGTTTTTCACACCGGACCTTTCCCTTTTCCTTTACCAATCCCTCCCTCCACCCATCAAATTGTGCAGTTGGTTTTAATCTACCAGAGTCCAAACTCCACAGCCAGCAAGAAATCAAAGCTCCAAAGAGAATGCAGGTAGGTCTCTCCTGAACACAGATGCCCTGGCAGGTAATCATCTTAAAAACTACTGCAAAAGAGGGATCCCACAGTAAGTAGCCTGAAACCACTTAGAATTAGAGAGAGGCAAGAGATAAAATAACAAGAAACCAAGTTGATTATGGGGATTATTTTTTAAAACAATAATTCCCAGGGATGTGAATTGTGGTGGATTGTGGCAGTCTCCTGACATACCTGCAGCTGTCAGTTTACTTTGACTCCTGACAAGCCCCCTTGTGTCGGAGTAGAGCTGTGCTCCATGGGGTCTGCAATGGTTGGCTTCTTGAAGTAGCCACCGGGCCTTTCTTCCAAGGTC